AAGTATTGCGATGGAGAACATTTTTGAATCTGAGTTTTCAACGGAAATAAATGTTTTGAGATACCCTGAGTCCAAATAACCAAGTCATGAAAAATGATCTGTGTGTGAGTATGTTAGCAGTCTAGCTCAAAAACTAAAAATCGTAGGAAACTGATATAACCTTTTTAAGATAGGTATATGCCTTAGATGTGACAGTAACTTTTTCCTTAAAATCGACTAACCGGAACTGTCACTTTATATCAACGCTGAAATACATTGTCACAATTTTCTCAAAACGGCTTTACGATTTATAAAAAAAGCTTGACTCGGTGTATCATTGTATAATTAAGTATTCTTTAATATCAATTAGGTCTTATCCACATTGATGTCATTTTACAGGGCTTAAATCGGTTGATTCTGAAAAATTGTCATATAACTTTTTAGAAAATTAAATGAATGAATAATTTGATGAATTTTCTCTTTGTGAAATCCTAACATTACCATGTCATCCTCTGTAGTACCTTTAATTTGGTTTATTATAAATAATAACTATTTATCATTGTTAGGAGTTATGGGAAAATGCTAAATATAAATTTTGGAAGAATTTGATAATTAAATAAAGGAGAAAAAAAGAAAAATACTTATCCAGGCTGAAAATGTATAACCAGAAATACTAGTCAGAAGGTATACATATAATATATCGTTGGAAAGCGGAGAATTTTTAAAATGAATATATAGTATAGACAGTTTTAGAAGGTAACAGAGAGTGATGAAAACAATATCAACGGATCGTACAATCCATAATCAACCGGTAATATAATAAATGGGACTTTTGTCGTACTTTTTTTTACTGTATTTATGATTTGTTAGCTGTAATCTTTTAGTTTTAGCTCAGTTAAAAATGCAATTCAACAATTTTATAATAGCCAAACATGACCAGAAAATAATTTCTGTTCAAAGTTGAGCCGCTAAGCTGAGCTCAACTTGAGCGGTAAGTGAAAGTTGTGTGTTGCGCGCACCAGATTATTTTATTTTGTGAACCCTTCCGTTTCCACTGAGAGTCCGGTAAGTTTTTTGCGGAAAAAATTTTTATAAATTAAAGACAAGAACGAAACGGTTGACTTATTACCCAGCCATCTTCCCTGCATCACACCTATAGTAAATAATATTAACGTGATTAAAATTAATTTTCTACACTACCTGTTAACATGGAGTTCACTTTCAAAATCAACACAACATCGCCAAATATCAGCTTAGGTAGTACAATGTTGCGTAATACCTTTATAAATAAAACTAAGTTAATTAATAAGTTGGATAAACAAAAGAAGAGTCGCCCTTAATGGTAATATATTGATCATAAAAAAAAAAAAAAAAAAAAAAAAAAAAACCACAACCTATAAAGGTTCTTGAGTTCAGTACTTTGTATGGAGTACTCTTTCAAGGCCAACGGTCGTGCAAGGAGGTGATCAAGCAGAGATCACGTTCAACCGCCAGGTTTCCAAATAATTAATTATTTAATTAAGAGTACTCAGTTTATAGATGTTGGATGTACTCCAGGAGAATTTCCCGACACCAGGATCGATCTACAGTTGTTGTAAAATTACTTGTCAGCAGCCGGATTCGAACTCGGGACCTTGAGCTTTGAAAGTCGGTGCTTACCCACTGTGCCACGATCTCCCTATGTACTATAAACAGATTAAATAATTATTTAAGAATAGTTCAATTGTTTGTTGCTCATTCATTAGAAGTGATGTATATCATGCCATTTTTTGTGATATTCAACAGAGGTGCTACAATTTACTAAAACAAATAATAGTAAATCCTAAGGTAAATATTGTTCATGAGGATTTATAAACATGTACATTCTCATGTTATTCTACCTCAGTGGCTAACAATGTTATTAAAAATCTGACAGTATACTTTAGTTTGTCTTATTGACCCTATTCTCTTTCTAATCAATCCTACCAAGTCTGTGTATAACAAACATGACCAGTTTGTCATAATCTTTCACAGCTTTCAGTATCTTCCTTTAACAAAGCAACTTCTTCATTCCATTGATAGTGGGAGGTGGTGAGGAATAGATGGGCAGAAGTGGATTTTTAATGGTAACTACCAGATTGAATAAATAATTCGATAATTTAAAATAGATTGTGACGTGCATAGACACGGTAATTAATTAACGATCAATTTTTCACGTTGTGAGAAATAATAATTTTTTCATATGTACCAATACTAGCAGATGTATTTTAAACAGCTATTTTTTGTTTTTATTCTGCATCATTATTTTGGAAAGATAAATTTTCCCTTTTATGGATCCTGCACTGTCTATAAGGGAACAGGGATTTTTCAAGATATTTACAAGCATACATTTTACAAGCATCTTAAAAACTCTTCATTCCATTTTACTAGAGCCTGTAGAATCTTGTTTTAGAGTCTATAATTAGAAATAATTATAGATACCATAATTGGTCGGGATATCCAGGTGGGCTAAGGTGCTTGCAATAGTTAATCAAAGTTAAGCAACGTCGAACGTGGTTAGTACTTGGATCGGTGGCAACCCGATTTGGGTGACTATCCGCGAGATAAAGCAAAGCTGCCCGGGGTTTCGGGGGGGAAGGAGGGGGGGAGACAGAGCTATGAAGATGAACTGAAGAGAAAACTTCAGGAATTGGATGCGGACGCTGGGTTGGATGATGTTTGGAAACAAATAAAGGACAGTATTCTGGAATCGGCTACATTGGTCTGCGGAGTCAAGATAATACTTACAAAAGCAAAGCGTACTGCATGGTGGAGCGATGAATTAAAAGCATTGGTCAAGGAAAAGAAAATAGCCTGGAGGAATTATTGCAGGGTCAAAACCACAGAAAAACGGCAGTCATATCTATTAGAGAGGAATGTGACTAAGGAGGCCGTAAAAACGGCAAAGAAGAGTTCAAGGAAAGAATTTGGAGAGAGGTTGAACCAGGATCACGGGGAAAACATAAAACTATTTTGGAAAAAGATCAAAGCACTGATAGGCCGAACAAGCAAAGGAGTAAGACATATTAAGAATGAGCAAGGAGAAATGGTCTCGGAGGACAAGAGCATCCTGGAGGTAAGGGGGAGACATTATGAAAAACGATTTATTACCGAACATATGTATCCTGGGAACAGTCAGTAGGCGCGCAGGAATGAGGCTGGCTTAGGGGAGGACGAGATAGATCTAGCTATTGAAAAGATAAAAACAGAAAAAGCTCCAGGAAGGGATAATTTAGTTGGAGAATTTGTTAAGTATGGTGAGATGGAGTTAGTGAGGTCTCTCCAAATACTTTTAAGCCTGGGACAGCAAAAGGATTCCTACAGAATGGGAATATAATGTCATAATTCCCATACATAAAAAAGGCAGCCAGGCTGAATGCTCCAACTACAGACCTGTCTCCTGTGGTATACAAGTTATATACATCCATCCTGCACAATAGACTGAGACCTCTAGTGGAACCGTTTGTAGGAGAAGAGCAAGCTGATTTCAGACCAGGGCGTCAGACACAGGATCATATATTCACCCTCAGGAATATAATGCAAAAATCATGGGATAATGATAAAAATCTGTACTTAGCCTTCCTCGACCTTCAGGCAGCATTTGATTCAGTCCCAAGAAACGAAATATGGGAAACACTAAGAGTAAAAAATGTTCCTAGAAGCCTGGTTGAGGCCATTAAATCTATATACCAAAATCCAAAAGGTATAGTCAGACTGAATGGACAGGAATCTGGCTATTTTAGCATAGATAGGGGGTCAAACAAGGTGATAGTTTAAGCCCGTTGTTATTTATATTATATATGGATGGAATTTCTGCAACATGCAAAAGGCGAACAGAAAGGACGTTTCTGGGGCGAAGGAATCTGCTTCCGGTTGTATTTCAGTTTCTTATATATGCGGACGATATTGTCCTGATTGCTGATTCTGTGGAAAATTACAGCAGGTATTTGACGAATGGAACGAGGAGCTCCTCAAGAAGGGTATGATCACCAGTACAGGAAAGAGCAAAATTCTACAGGTTGGAAGGGTGCAGGAAGATGTTACAGTGTATTGCAACAGAGAGATGATGGAAGTTGTGTCAGATATCACCTACCTTTCTCTGTTATGGATCGGTCTGGGAAAGTGGATTCAGAAATTCTGCACAGGATAAGCAAAGCAAACGCTATATATTACCACATCTGCAATACTGTGATTGGAAAGAGAGAAGTGAGCAGAGGTGTAAAACTGCACATATTTAAAGTAGTATACTTGCCTATACTCCTGTATGGTGCAGAAAGCTGGGTACTGACTGACAAATTTGAGAGAAAAATCACTGCTGCAGAAATGAGGTTTCTCCGAAGGATCGCAGGGAAAACGAGACGGGACTGCATTCGCAACGAGAGAATCAGGGAGGAATTGGGGGTTCCCTCGATGAAGGATGTCCTAAAGACTCGGCAGCTTAAGTGGTTTGGGCATGTCATCAGGATGGAAGAACACAGAGATCCATTAAAGTCTATGGACTACGTTCCCAATGGCAGAAGACCCCGCGGCAGACCGAGAATGTACCTCGAATACGTAGACCGCCTGTGCAAAAGCAGAAATAAGAATATACGCCAAGTTAGAAATCTTGCAAGAATCAGAGAACATTGGCAATCCTGGTCAGATGCTCCCCTACGCTGAAAGGCACTACAGGGTGATGCAAAAGAAGAAGAAGTACCAATAAATATAATTAAACATATTTTATAAGAAGTATTATAACTATGTACAATATAATATATATAATATAAATATAAAAACAGTTGATTAAAAATATATATAAAATAACGCAACTAAATTCGATTAAAAGTTAAAAAATATATATCAAAAGTTAATATATATATATATATATATATATATATATATATATATCAATCTAATGCCTATTAAATGATTTCATATTTTAGTGACAATAAATATAATCAAAAATATTTTATAAGAAGTACCATAACTATGTACAATATCACTATAAAGTCACAAGCCTTGATCCTTACGTTAAAAAAACACTCCCATTAACTTATATCTTCAATTATCTCCAAATGTTTAAACACATTATCTATGTTTTTTAATGGATCTCACATTTCATTCAAAACATTTTTCGGGCTTTCTATTTAAATACGGTAATGACACCAGAGCCCACTTTAAATTAGTCAAGAGGAACTTCAATGACTTAGTCCAGCGTTCTGCCGAATTAAATTGGATTTTGATGGAATGAGATATTCCAGAGGAGTCCTCTCTTAATCTCCCTTCATACACTGTGTATGGGAAAGGGGCTAAATATTCCCCTTTTTTTGATTTCTTGAGTTGTCCCAAGCAATCAAGGAAGGCCACCATTCCTTTGTCGAACTGGCTGTCCCACCTATAGCGGAAATTGCCAGAACCAAAAAGTGGCAAAATTTCTTTTTTCGCCCCTTCCATCTCAATGTATGAATTATTGCCATTGGCCACGAGTCTGAGATTTTTAAATTGAAAATCTAACTTATTTGCAATGGAAAAAAGAAGGAGCGAAATTTTGCCCCAAGCTGTATTTACCTCAGTCCACTCTACTGGAGAGGAGGGAATATAGCCTAGCCTAAAACTATTAATCGTGCCATATGCGGAAGGTGGCCTCAAAAATATTTGTTTGGTCAATCTGGTTTTTCCTATCCCGATTATAGGCTACCTGATTCTTCAGACCTATTATTTCTTCTTCCAGTGTATGGCTGTAATTAATGTATTTCGAACTTATTTTGGAGTATTTTAATTTAATTTTAGTACATTATTCATTAATTTTAATTTGTTCTTCAACTTTTGAATTGATCTCCTCTTCTTTCTCTTTTAGCATATTTAATTCCAATTTTAGTGTTTCTTCTTCGAAAAGAAGATCTTTCAGTTGTTTTTTGAGATCCTTAATATTTTCTTTAAATGACTCCATTTTAAGTTGATATAAAAAATGTTTGTAGTCCATATATTCTTCTTCAGCTCCTTTAAAGCTGTTGTTCATAAATATTTTCAATTTATTAATACATTGCTCACATGCGTGGGGTGCTTCTGCTACGTTTGAAGACAGAAGATTGGAGAAATGTGTAGATATATTCATGAAGCGATTTATTTCGCTTGGTGCTTCAGGAAGAGCTTCTAATACTATAAAATCTTCCAGAGTATCTCTGGTGACATCCTCCAACTGAAACATTTATACAAAATTATCAGCGTTATTTGCTTCCAATGTACATTCATAAGTAGGTATAAAGATATAGAAATTTTGGAGAATAATGGATAGGACATATCTCAACCTATGGCTTAAGATATGGCATTACAGAGGCCTGAATCGTCTCTATAGAAAACCAGAATTAAAGCTAAAATTAAATGAAGAATGTCACAGTTATGATTGATCCCAATGATAAAAATATTGTCTGAATCGAAGCATTAATGAAACTTCTTGTTTTATTAAATTGAATTATATAAAAAATAACGTATATTTCATATAATAGTATATTAATGTATAGAATCCGTATATAAAGTAAAGATGGGGTGTATATTCTAAAAGAAGTAGCCAGAAAAGAAGTCATAGAGCCATTTGAAAATTAAAATCTTGCAAAGCAGTCGTAACCTACAATGTATCTAGGGAAATGATGACGCAATGTATGAATGGATGAAGGGAATGATACTTTCTAGGGACTGGGTCAAAATATTATACTAATTTTAGGGCAAGGTTTGAGATGTAAATTAAGGAAATGTGGAAACTATTGTAAGCAAAATTATTTTCTTGTACATTGCAATGACTCAATAAAAACAGACAACACAATTTAGTTTTTACTCAGCACTCATTCAAACGGCCTTCATATTTAAAGGCAAAGGGATTTGTCATAGCATACAAGGATCACTCTACTTTGATCGGTAAACACTTTTATAATCCAAATTCAAACCTTTAACTAAGACGAGTACGCTACTTTGGGTAAGGCTTTGGTACTATTAAAAAGAACATACACAAATATTTCATAAATGACCGAAAGCGTAAAAAACAATAAAATCCTTCATAAATTAATCGAGCAAATGTAAAAATTTTAAATTTGTGTTATTTTAACTTTTTTTCTGAGGGCCTAGATATTTTTATCTCTTAGGACCACTACTTATCTTGATCATCCCCTGTTTACTAGGAAGCTAAGAAGAATGTACGTCTTTTGAAAAGAAAGAAATATGAAAACCTAAAAATGTCACAAGAATTGAAATTATTTATAATAATTGAGAGGCCGAGAACGAATTGTAATGAAAATCAAAGTGTTTATTTTCATCAGGTATATAAGCCGTTAGCAACATGGTGAATTAAACTATACCAAAAGATGATTATCGAAGTGTAGTAATGTGGTTTCAGACCACGAACAAAACTGATCAATTACTCACCAAATCGCATCGATTTTCATATTTTGATAATATATAATTATAGAGAGGCGATCCCCTATCTTTCACGAGAATAAAAACTAAATGTAATGCAATACTTGGTACTTTTGTTCGTACCAAAAATAATTTTAAATTGTAACGAATGACCTGGAGAAAAAAATTTAAAATAATGATTTTTCAAATAGTTTAATGTAAAGTGGTTATAAACTGCTTTTATCTTCCAAATCTCTGTCATATGAACTGATCCGTATTTATACTTATACATTATTAATATTTATATATATATATATAATTAAATAATCTTCAACGCTAAATGATTTTTTAAAAAGAACATTATTGGAAAATGACAGCAACTATAATATAACTGGTCTAATTTCTATCTAAAATAATAACTAGTCTACTTCCTAACTAATAATGACTATGACTATCGAATACTGAATATTGAATGTTGTCTCACGCTAAGAGGAGATCGTATTTATAAGGATAAGGAAAGGAAATGAGTCAGTGCTGACATTGCACTAGCGTGTACCTTTAAGTATATATATATATATATATATAAATAGAAACAATATAATATTTTGAGTCCTAATATTAAAGTTTTCCTGAAAATCATTGAAGCAGTAAGCAGATTTCTTTATTTTAAACATAACTTTTAGGACTAGAAATATTGAGGCTGTCACTTATAAATACGTATCTATTACTATGAAGAAGATCTTAGAGAAAAAAACCGTTTCTTAACGACTTTAAATCAAAACGTTGAAAAAGCATTATTTTTAAACTTTTTATATTTACCAATAAAAAATGTATTTAGGCATTACATTTATTACAATAAATTTCAAAAAATATTAAAAATATTTTTTTTTTTATTTATAGCCAAAAGCTTTGGCACAGTAAATTAATTAAAGTATTTTTTTTCCTTATAAACATTAACTTAATTAATATGGACTTACTAAACTTATTAAATGAAGAAGTTTTTGTATAAGTGGGGTATAGGCGGTATATTTGAATGACGTTTTTAAAAACAGAATTTAGCCGTTCATAAGTCCTCTTTAAATGGGTCTAACAATGACAAACAATTTCTTGTAGCGTAAATTCTGTTTAATATAAAGTGAAGCAATTGTCAATTAGTTAAATGAAATATTTTTTTGGCTATCGCTTCCTATTCAACAGAAAGCGTGGTTTTCTTTAAAAAAACACAAATCTTGGATTTCCTACTTTTCTGATGAAAATTGACCCATTGTTTATTTCAACTTTTTTTTTGGCCTTCAGAGCTACAAAAAAGTTCATTACATGTGAACATACATCTATGTTATGTAAAAAGTGGTGTATCTGTAGTATAGTTTAAGGGTGATAAAAAAAAATTGCAAATAATTTATGATTTTGTTTTTTACAGGGAACTTCAATAATGAAAAATTCTACTTTCATATCTAGTTTACTGTGGGCAGTTGTTAATTACTTAAATTAAATATTTTCGTACATACCGCTTTATATTCAACAAAAAACGTGACTCACGTAAAAAATATCAAATCTTGAGTTTTCCACTTTTGTGTCGGGACTTTGGCCATTGATATAAACAAATCCATGGTTGATAGAATGAAGGAATTAGAACAAAGTCCACTTAAATAACCAGCAACGTAACCATGAAAATTGGCAAAGTGATGTATAATATTGTTAAATAGAATATAGAAAGGAAAACAAATGTTTAATAACATGCATTCGAGGAATAGGAGCTAAAGGAAAAACATTAAGAAGGTAAAATAAAAAATGAATGAAATACACTTTTAACATATATATGTAAATACAAAAAAAATTGTAACAAATATTAATAATGTTATGATGTTTTAACCGTGAAAATAAATGTCTCTGAAGATGGGCAAAGAGTCCAAAACGTTGGACAGATAAATAAACTGACATTTACGGAAGAGAATTTTTTTTATACTTTATACCTAATATAATAATTACATGATTTAGTTTTGTGAATATAATTGAAGCAATCTACATTTGTTTTTATATTAAACATAAATAATTAAGAACTTAAATAATATGTTTTACTTTTATTTTTCATGATGACAGCAATATTTAATCCTTTAAAAAGTTTTGTTTTACTATTTCAATTTTTATAGAAAGTTATTCTATTTTATTTTTATTTGTATATCTATATAAATAAAATAAAGCTTTTGTCTGTACATTGAATAAAATCAACCCATTTTATGATATCTTTCTGTTTCATTCATGGCAGACACCAAATCCACTTTATAAAATTCTTTGTCTGTCCGCATAGCAACGAAATTTTGTCAGGGGTAGGTTCATATTTGTATATACCTTGGATCTTACCGAAAGTTGCATTTTATATAATCGATTTAACACATTTTTTCTCAAAAATGGCTCTAACGATTTTGACTATTCTCAGTATATCAGCGTATTATTAATAAATTTTTAATATAATGTAGGTTTTATTCTGTTCTACATATCATGGGTGATAAATATTCAGGACGCAATCATTATATAGTTTTTATTGTTTTCGATGTTTGAACCCAAACATGTGTGTGGCATCAGGGCGTGTTTCGAACACTAAAGATATTCAAGTCAATTCCTTCCCTGCTCGAAATTCGCCCTGATGATGACCCACATGTTTGGGTTGAAACGTCGGCACCAATAAAATCTTTATAATCACTGCGTTCTGAATATTTATCACCCATGATAGGTTTTATTCTGATTGATGTTTACTGACAGGGCTTAAATGTCTAATTTTCAGTATTAGCTTCCTCTAAAGAACCTTAAATTTTTTTTATTGAAATAATTAATCTTTGATATGAAAATAGTCAAAAAATAAAAATAGCTTAAAATAAAAATAGCTCCTTCCTTAATAATACAACAGTCAACTGTTAAGTATTCAATAAAAATAACTAAACATAAAATATGAAATAATTTGACAATAAAAAGAAATAAGAGATCGTAACGGATAATAGGTGAAATGAAGGAACCAAAGAGACACGAGCACACGCACTCGAGCTGACTCGAAAAATTATTATAGGCTTCCATACGTAGCATGAGCTTATATCATACGAACTCCGACAATATTATGTACATATACATGTGGTTTTCATAAATGCTATCGTTGGTATTATTTATAATTTAATTGTATAGATTACAGCGATATAAAAATTAAAATTTGCATGTACGAGGATAATTAAATGTATAAAAATATCCAAAATGAATAAAATAAAAAAAGTGGCAATAATTATTACTTTCACTTCCCCTTGGTCTGAAAACACATTTCTGCTAAGAAGAGGGTGGTATGTGAAAATCGTATGACGCGAACACCTAATTTTTAAAACATGCTTTGATTTATTAAATTTAATTTTTTTGAACAAGTTGGAAAAAGAAGATTGAAAATTATCTACCAGAGGTGCCCAAGTCGCGCCATCAACATTTTGAGGAGAGCTCATTTTGACGGGATTTTGAAGGGGGCCATTTCGTTGGTTTTATGAATTTTCAGAAAAAAGATTCAAACCAGAACACGGACTTCAGGCAGTGAAATTTTATATAATCTATAATTTTTTACTTTCACTTACGTATATATGTAATATATAGTAAGTGTAAGTATGGCGATCGAGAAAATGTGTGAATCTGAGATTTCGACGGATTTATACGTTTTGAGGTACCCTGAGTCGAAATGACCAATTCCCGAAAAATGGTCTGTGTGTTTGTTTGTTAGCAGTCTAGCTCAAAAACGAAAAGTCCTATGAAACTGATATCACGTATTTAAGATAGGTATATGCCTTAGTTGTGACGGCAACTTTTTTCTTAAAATCGGCTAACCGGAAGTGCCACTTTATATCAACGCTGAAACACATTTTCACAGTTTTCTAAAAAACGGGTCTATCAATTTTGATTAAACTCGGTGTATCATTGTATAATTAAGTGGTCTTTAGTATCATTTAGGTCTTATCCCTGTTGATGTCACTTTACAGGGCTTAAATGCCCATTGTTCATATAGGTCTTCCTCTAAAGTACCTTTAATATGGTTCATTTCAAATAATTAACTATCTCTCATTATTAAAAGTTATGAAAAAATGCTAAATATAACTTTTAAAAGAATTTGATAAGTTAATAAAAGAGAAAAAAAATAAAAATGCAGAAAAACGTAGCTATAGACTTTAGCGCCTAAACGAATGTACCGATTTCATTGAAACTTCGCTAAAGTCATTTTCTCGACACCCTTCAAATTTATCTATACAACATTCATCAGCGAAAAGAAGCTAAAAAAAAGTTAAGAGGGATGGTAAAATTAAATTCCGAATAACTCTGGTTTACTAAAAGTTTATGGAATAGCCTAAAAAACAAAAAAAAAAATCGTTAAAATCGGACAATTAGGAGATAAGATATGGTCTCTAGTTTTTTTTTAATACGTTCTGCTGCAATGGTTATATCCTTTGTTTCGGTTTTTGAATTTTGAATGTGTTAATAAGGTAATGCTAATTTTTTAAAAATGTATTTAAAATCCACCTAAGCAAGTTGATGGCATTGTTAAAAAAACTATTTCAGTGTACTTGTGTGAAAGAAGAAATAAAATATAAAATCATTTCATGGATGTATAAATCATGTTTTTAAAATATTAAATACATTTACTGTAGTTTAGTAATTATTTATTAAATTTTAAATTGGTCCAAAATCGTCTTATCTTTTTGGCTACATTCAAGGAATTGCTGTGTTATATATGTGTGCGATGCGTTCCTGGCGTTTGAGAATTTAAAGAGAAAAAAGGAATTTTTTTTCATTTTGGGAAAGTGTTTATTATGCTATGTCTATTGTTTAATATGGTTTATTGTTGATAATTTGTAAGAGTATTGTTATAAAGGGGGAGAAAAAAAAAAGAAAAATATAATATAAAATTAATGTCCGTATGGATTGATAAGTATGCTGTGTACGAAGCAACCCTATGTAGTAGGGCAGCATTACTTTTAATAAAGTATTTCTCTATAAATAATTAAGTATTAAAGTTAATTCCAAAATATTTTCATATAACTTTTTAGAAAACTAAATTAGTGAATAATTCGATAGATCTTAGTGATATTCCACTACCATTTCATTGTACTTGTGTTAAATAAGAAGTGAAATACAAAAATATTTCATAGATACGTTTATAACCCTAAATATATTTACTGTAGTTTAATAACTCTAGATCTCATAATATATTTAAATATTTAGATAACTATCGTCCGTTTATTCCGAAAAATCATCATGTAACCTTTTAGAAAATTAAATTAGTGAATAGTTTGATAATTTTTCTTTTTGCGATATTCCAACAGAATCCACTTACAATTAGTGTGACAACTTTTGACCTGTCTATGACAGACACTGCAAATCTCTTAATTCCGTTTTAATAAACTTTGCAATAGAAAATAACAGTTTAATGACTTATAGTCGTACAATCCATAATCAGTGGATCGAACAATCCATAATCAACGAATCGTACAATCCATAATCAACCGGTGATATAATAAATAGGACTTTTGTTATTTTAATAGCATTTGTGTTTTTTTAGCTTTAGCTCAGTTTAAATTGCAATTTAAAACATTTTATAATAGCCTAACATGGCCAGAAAATAATTTTTATTCAAAGTTTAAAGAGTAAGTGAAAGTTGTGTGTTGCGCGCAACAGATTTTTTAATTCTACTTTCGCCTGCCCTGTTTTTAAGAAGAGATGAGCAATACAATAGCTTGGATGGGAGAGGTGCGCATTGACCTTGAGGTGGTATGTGCATCCCTGGTATTTACAATATTTCTGATTTGAAAAATTTTATTTAACAAATTTAATCGTATAATATAAATACTTCGTAAAGTATTTAGGTTTATTCTAGCCAACTCAAATACACAACACACAATAAACAACAAACGAGGCTATCTATGTGGTTTTAGATAGGATTTATCATACATTAAACAAATAATTTCCTTAAGAATAAAACTGCAGATAAAGTTAAAATATAAAGGTGAAACATAACATCAATTTCGATATGCCTACAATTCAATTGGATAATATAAAAAAAAACAATAAATCTAGTAAAAATTTGTATAACTGCAAAGGGGGAAGCTTTAAATTCGTTCATTTTAAAATAATAAGGCGATCCTCTTTCTCCAAATCAGTCTAATTTTCATCCCGCGTTGGTTTTGTTACATCTCTAGAACTACTGGATGCATTACTTAACAAAATTCAGTCATGAATATATTTACGATATGTATAAAATTAAAAACTTCATAAATAGTCCAACTATATCATACAAAGACACCCGATTGGTAAAATCGCCATAAATCTATTTAGTAGAAAATTTTAAATATAACAAAATCATGAAAAATAGAAAATTATTCATGCGCAAAAAAACATTAATGTTGAAGTAATATTTCATTCAGACGTATTTTTGACATTTAAATCAACTAGCCTCGAGCCTTTGTTTTGTTTTTTCCAACTAGGATCTTATTAACATTCTGAAAGATAAACTTTATGTTTACTTTTTGTCAAGTTTTTCTTAATTTAGCAAACTTATTTCAGAACGACAGAAAGAACAACTATTTGAATTTAAACAATATTACACGTGTCCCGCCATGATAAACTTTCAAAATTACGCTCTAAATGTGACATTATACATTTTTATCGTTTTGCTGTATATTACATATTGCATGGTTCAAAAAAATACTTAGTTTATTTCTAACAACTAAACTCAACAACTGTACATAAGTTTAATTTACCTTGTATTTAGCATACATTATGAAATATATATATATATATATATATATATATAATATAAAGAACTGAACACAGCAAGCAACCAGCACAAGCCACGCTTTGGTCTAAACCACCATCTTGCTGACGTCACAAAGGGCTAGTTTCTGAATTTGGCACTGCTCTTTATTTCGCTGTAATCTTATTTCCAATCGACCTTACTATACCTGCAAATATATATATATAATATATATATATATAATATATATATATATATATATTTGTTTTTCAATTTATACATATTATGTTTTAAATGTATCATTACTGTGCCCTTAAAATTTAAATTCTCACTTAAATGATTTAATGATTAAATCAGCGCTTTGTTATTTTAGGAATTTAAAGCCTAACTATTCTATTAAGATAGCTACTGCAACAGTTGATAGTTGAATTTAAACCATATTACACGTCACACACCATATATAGACGTGTAATATGGATGTGTATATATATCGCTGTAATTTTACTTCCAATCGCACTTACTATACATGCATATATATATATATATATATATATATAATATATATATATATATATATATATTATTTCAATAATTACATATTATGTTTTAAATGTACCATTACTATGCCCTTAAAATTTAAATTTTCACATAAATGATTAAATGAGGGGAGGGGAGCGTTATCAACTCTTTGTTAGTTATTGAATTTAAAGCCTAGGTATTTTATTAAGATAGCTACCGCAACAGTTCCATCGTGTAAACTGTACTACTACTGCATATTTCTTGATAGTTGACAGTATCTGTCAGAGTAGCTAAAGGTATTGTCACGTTAATTACTAAGTGTAAACGCCTAGTAGTAAATCATTGTACCAGATATAATTTTATGAACTGTAATTGTGTGGGAAAACATTGTTCTCATCTATTGGTTATTTTAATAATTTCTGAATTTGAAAATGATTCAATCCCTATTAGAGTCAACCAAGTATTGTGATTATTGATTTTCTCCTTGAATAAAATTATTCTAAAATATAGAAATTAATAATTTTTTTTTCAAAGATACTCATAAGATACAGGAGCTGAAAAATATCTGTAGCAAACATTTTTCCAAATACCCAGGTACAACCACATCTGAATGAAAAGAGGATGATATTTTCTATCAAATGCTAAGATGAAATTAGTGGGTTTTTGTGTTTAAAGTAGAGTTTTATTACTGTTTATATCTAATAAAGCGAAATTTAATTTAAGATTTATATTTATTTATTTTAGGTGCCGTGTGTAACTAGATCACAGGCACCTTATTGGCTATTGAATTACATTACAGTGTGTCTGTAGGGATCGTGTTTTTTTTTTTTTTTTTTTTTTTTTTTTTTTTTTACATTTGTACGTTACTCGGATATTTCTTTAAAGATCGAATTGTTACAGCTACATAGATTATTTCTGATTTACGTTGAGTACGTGTATGAAGATTGTATTGTTTACATACGTCTGTAGTAATTGTGTTTTTTCAGAAATTAAAGTAGGTGCTTCTGATTTTCTTGTTGTAGGGCTTGTCGATATATCAGCAGGCGATATGAAGTCCTTGATGGATCCAAGGACAATTTTCTAAAATTGTAAAGTTGTTAAAACTATATTGCAGCTACGACATCTTGGTGGTGAACTACCGTATGACCGGTTCGGCTATTTCCTTAGGCTCGGTAAGAGTTTTTCCATTGTAAGCTATCGACCGCGGAATATTTTTAATTTGTCTGCCTTTTATAGCCTTTGTTTTTCCATACTATTTTCGTAGGAATTCCTGTTGAGAGGGTAGAAATAAATCTTGGCCAGCAATTTCTTTTTTGCCTGGTTGATAGTCCACTCCGCTTCTGCCCTGGCTTTATGGTAATTGATATGATTACTTAATGAAGGCTGAGTTTTTAACATTTTTGAAGCTCCATGTCGTTTCGTCAAAGCCGCACGACATTCGGGTGTCCACCAAGGAACCGTTTATAAATATTTAGATGGTTTACTTTTAGGACCGAGAGGTTAGTAATTTGGACAATCACTGAAGCAAACCTATCGAGATTTTCTCTGTGAAAAGAGGAAATGTCTAATGTCTACTACTAATGTCAAAATGTCTAAAGTTTCCGCTACAGGCTTTTGTATAATTCTCCCAATTGGCTTTTTTTATCCTCCATTTCTCGATAGAGTGTGGAAGGAACGGGTCAATATGCAGTGAAAGCAAGTGGAGGTAGGTGATCACTACCTGCAAGACCACAATGGAAGTAAGATTGGGGAATTATAGGAAATGAGCGAGAGACTAAGCAGAAGTAAATAGAAGTCCAGAAAGATTTGGTGGGCTCGGCTATAGAAAGATTGCTCACAGAAGTTGCATAATATGAGCATAAATTCATTTGTAAGAGAGTCTATTATCTTCTTCTCCCTTGTATCAGTTCAATTATTGATACCCGTAGTCGGACAGTGGGCTTTTAAATCCTCCATTAGAAGGAATGGGAGAGGAAGTTCGAGTAATAGGTCTCGAAAATCGCTATATCTAAAATTTTCTGAGGGATGTAGATAAATAGAATATATTGTAAACTGAACTGGAAGGCGAACGACAATGGCTACTGCTTCTAATTTTGACGATAAATTAATATCAGTATAACTCATGGCTTTCTTAATGGCTAGAGATTCCCCCACTAGCGGGAGGAGTACGACGGACTGTTATGTAAATTCAACTATATAAAGATTGTATAATTTTTTTATTTTCTTTTAGATGGGTCTCTTGAAGTGACAAATCTGAAGGGTTATAAGCAGAAATGTACAACTAAATGATCACTATTTTAATGTAATAAGTTACGATCTGGTTATGGAGTGCTAGGAAAGTTAAATGTAGGTATTTTCACTAATAGAAGTGTTTCTAAGGTGATTTTTTATGACTTTTGGAAATCTGCTCTTTAAGCTTTTTGTTGGAAGCGCTGAGTATAACTCTGAAAACATAGTTAAGATGGTGTCAAGATAATTGGTTATTTGGCGGGTCTTTTTTGACTATGATAGTTCCTAAAGATGTGTGTAATTCAATGAAGGGAAGAGAATAGTTTTTGTCAGGTGATTCTACAAGTTTCTTCAAAGTTATTAATGTTCGGTCAAAGTTTTATTTTCCGTGTCAATTTGAATGTTAGAGGTTTTTCTGTTATCTCTTATGTTTCGTAGGTTGCAAGTTATCTTTTTTAACTTCTTCCGGTTCATTGGAATCGTGGTGACTGATTGAAATTTTTGTGTTGTTTTATTACGGTTAGATTTAGGTTAGAAGAAAGACTTGTTAATGGGGTAATTGGATTCGTTGAATTTTTGTCTCTATTACTTATCTTCTCCTCTAAAATTTGATTTAACTATTCTTCTAGCCACCGGATAGTATACCCTATCGGTTACTCTTACCTTTTGAATTCCCTTGTCTTTTAGGAATGCAGAACAGTTTCGAGACCACGCAGGATGTGGATCAGAACAATCAACACATTTCAATGGGTGGCTACACTGATCGTCGTGTTGAGAAAGCTCACATTTGCCACAAACTCTACGTTGGCATTTAGCCTATATGTTGTTGAATGAGAACCAATTAAAACGGGCTTCTCGAAAGTTAATATAATTAATAATGTCGGTATCTGACCTTCTAAAAATTCTTTCAACTTCCACGACTCCTTCGTCATGTAGCTCTTTTTCATGTTCTTGTTCTGAACAGATGTTGAACTCAGGGCAGGTTATAATATCTTTAGTGTAATTCAAAGAAGGGTGGAGAGTGAAATTCAAAGCTGATTTTTCTATTTCTTAATATTTTGTAGATTAAAAAAAATCCTTTTCATTGACCACATATAGTAGTAGTTTGCCACTTCACAAAAACTTAACTTTTGTTTGTTAGAATAAACTTGCAATCTTTGAATAGGCTAGTGTTTAGCAAAGTCTTATGTTCATCAGCAATAGAGACTTCCATATATTTTCTTATCCATGAGATTCCTGGTCGCATAAAGCACATAGAATACTTTATCGAGAGGTTTCGGTTTCTTGGCCCCTGACATTTCACCTTTGTTTTTTTACCTAACATTTGTTTTTACGATTTTTCTTCTAAAAGATTTTTTGTACTTAAAATAGTTCAGTTCACATAAAGAATTAAATTTTTATGAGGATTACTTTTCAAGGGATGATTCTTTTAGATACAATTTATATAAACAAGTAAACATGATCAAAATGTCTTTTCAGATATCCTTATATAAGCACATATAACTGACAAGATCATGACATCCCCTTTCACATGGTTAAATGAGCCTTTCAGTTGACAGAGTGACCAACTTCAGTTTCAACATTTTTGAACAAAGCCAATTTAGTGATATTTCTAGTTGGAAAATTTATAATATCTTTACAGACAATGAATACCTTTATTAAAGATTAAGTGATTGTAGTGTTGTAATACAGTAATGTGAAGGAAGGAATAAATTTACCTTCTAGAAATATCACTAAAATTAATAATATAAAATGTTGGAATTAGAGTTAGTGATTCTGTCAACTAAAAGATTCATATAATATTTGTAGGCTTTTGACTCTACAGAAATTAATTAACGTGTAAAGAAACAATTGTGCGTGTTGCGAAAACTATATGCTCGTCTTGACAAGTTTGTAAATTAAGAATTAGAGAATGAAAACGTTATTAGCTACAACAGTATAGATGTATTGAAAATAAAACTTATAAATTTTAATTTGTGGTGACGGAGCTCACTAGGATCCAGGAGTTAATTTTGGGAGGAGGGGGCTTCAGCCCGAAAGATTTTTTTTCATATACATATAACGATAATTAATTTGAAAAAAAAAAGAAAGAAATTAACTACCTATATGAAGTGGTGTTTAAGTGGTTCTTGAAGTCCTATTAAATGTAATTAAACGAACAAGAATACTTTAAGAGGTAGTTTTTAATACTTTTTTCTGTAAAACATGATTATATTTTACCATTTTGGGCGAGGCTTTAGCCCGAAAGCTCCCCCCCCCCCCGTATATCCGCCTGTG